AATTCTTTAGACTTGGTTTCCATTAGTTCTTAAAACACAATTTATCACAGTCAACATAAAATATTTATCTAGGGGCACCTGGGTGGCTCAGTCAGTTAAGTGTCTGACTCTTGATTTCAGCTCAGGTTGTGATCTCAGGGTCATGAGATCGAGCCCTGTGTCCACCTCCACCCTCAGCAGAGTCTGCTTGTCCTTCTTCCCTTGCCCCTCCCCCTGCTCTCTGTCTCTCAAATAAATAAAGTCTTAAAAAAATAAGTAAAATCTTTGTCAAGTAAGTCCAACTGGGCTTTCTCACAGATTTTTTTTTAAAGATTTTATTTATTTATTTGACAGAGATCACAAGTAGGCAGAGAGGCAGGCAGAGAGAGGGGGAAGCAGACTCCCTGCTGAGCAGAGTGCCTGATGCGGGGCTCGATCCCAGGACACCCGGATCACGACCCAAGCCGAAGGCAGAGGCTTTAACCCACTGAGCCACCCAGGTGTCCTCCAGGTGACTGTTTTTTTTTTTTTTTTCCTTTTTCATTGTTATACTTTCTTATATCTCTGTGTGTCTCATATTTTTTTTGTTGTTGTTGTTAAACACTGGACATTTAAAATAATCTAATGTGGCTACTCTGGAAATTAGATATCCATCCTCCTTTCCAGGATTTGCTGTTGCTGTTTGTTATTGTTGCTCTTTGTTTGCTCTGGGGTTTTCCTGGACTAATTCTCCAAAGTGTGTACTCTTTGTCATGCGCAGCTTCTGAATTCTCTCTTGGTTAGCTTAATGGTCAGCAGAGACAGAGGTTTCCTTTAATACCTCGATTCAGTATATCTCCTGTTCTGTGCCAAGGGGTTCGCTGTGTGTGTTGAAGCACAACTTCAGTGCTCTGCCAGGTTATAACTCTGCCTTTGCCTTCACTTCCTATTTGAGCAGGGCCTCAAGGTTACCCAGAAGTGAGATACTAGGGCTCTCTCAGGTCTTTTGTGGATGTGTACACAGCCTTGCACATGCATGTGCCTTCTAGATTCCCAGGAATGTGCTGGAGCATTTCGAGGCCCCTCTGGATGGCTCATCCTCTAGATTTTCATTTAAGTGTTTGTGTTGGCTTCTTCCTTATTCTAACTAGTGCTGCTACCTTAGACAACTGCAGTGTTAAACAATTGCTGCTGATTGTTTTTGGCAAACACTCCAGACAGAGCTTTTCCCCATGAGTGAGTTCCACATCAGGTCAGATAAAGACAAGTGCTATGTATGGGCTTTTTCTGGAAGCTGACAGCGACAATTCTCTGGGAATGAGCAGTTATGGACCTTCAAAATGTTTTGCTTTTTTTCTGTGGCCACTGCTTGTCACAGGTACTGTGGTTGTGGGATTGATAGTTTTTAAGGCTACCATGGTGCTGGGAAATGGGCAAGTTAAAATGCTACAAACTTCACTGTTCTTAGCAAGATATTTGTCCTGAATAAACACTTCTTGGGTTGTTACCAGACATTAATTTCTAGAGTTCTGAAAGGGTCAATTTTTACTTCTGGTGTTCTTGCTGCTTTTTATGTAGATTTTCAGAGGTCCTTACTCTATCATTCCAGAAGTGCTTCTTCCACTGGAAGAAGAAACCTTTTATTTATTTTTATTTATTTTTAAAGATTTTATTTATTTGACAGAGAGAGATCACAAGTAGGCAGAGTGAGGGGCAGGGGGAGCAGGCTCACTGCCAAGCAGAGAACCCAATGTGGGGCTTGATCCCAGGACCCTGGGATCATGACCTGAGCCAAAGGCAGAAGCTTTAACCTACTGAACCACCAGGCACCCCGAAGAAATCTTTTAGAAAGGGTTTCTTGGGGTCAGGGTAGATTAAGAACCCCAGCATGACATGGCAAGGCAGACCTGCATGATTGTAGTAGAGCTGATATGTAGCTATCCTTTCAAGTCCTACTTCCCCCTTTTTTTTTTTTAAAGAATGAATTTATTTATTTGATAGAGACACAGTGAGAGAGGGAACACAAGAAGGGAGAATGGGAGATGGAGAAGCAGGCCTCCTGCTGAGCAGGGAGCCAGATATGGGGCTCCATCCCAGGACTCTGGGATCATGACCTGAGCCAAAGGCAGACACTTAACGACTGAACCACACAGGTGCCCCTAAGTCCTAGTTCTTTTTAAATCCCAGAAACTTCTGGAACTCTGAGATCTAAGAACGGCCCTGCCCCCACCCCCTCCACGGGCCAGGGCAGGAAGTGAATTGCATTCCCTGGCCAAGTCGTCTCCATGGACCACTGAACAAATGGAAGAGAACATTGTTGTATGAATCAGAACACACAGTATTAATGATTATCTTCTTACAGTCATTTGCGAACTATATGGCTCCTGTTCTAGAATTTTTCAGTGGGACTCACGGAACTGTTTCCCACCCTCAGAGCCCTAGATTCCTGGAGAATGCACATGGAGCAATTAAATGTCTGTAAATCCAAATGCAAAGGATGCATCGTTAGCAGAATAAATAAATCTCTTCTGCACACAGACATGCTTTCAAATGCATACTGCCACTAATAAATACACAAATCTTTTTAAAGCAACAGCAATGACACTAGGACCCTAGCACTGAGACAGCAGGTCTAAGGCTGACAGCTGCAAAGATGGGGTGAGTGCCTCCATTTGTCTCCGCAGGTGTAGCATGGACACCAGCCAAGCAGCTTTCGATGCCTTTGTCCTCGTGTCTTCCAGTCTCCTAACCCTTTATCCATCCTGGCCCACCAGTCTCTCTTTCTCGCTTCCTACTCCCTTACCTCCCTCTTTCCTGTCAATCAGCATTTACCGACCATCTCCTGAGTGCCTAGGGGTCCAGTCCTGGCTCTGAGGAGCCCCCACTTTGGTGGAGAAGGACAAGTGTGCAGAGCAGACCCCCTCCCTCCTGCAACCAGGTACAGAAATGCTGCCACAGAGGGAGGTATCTGGGGGAGGGGGAACTGGGGAGAATGGAGGGTCTTGGGGAAAGGCGGGTCTGGATTTAAAAAGGATCCTGCCCAAGGTTCCTAGAAAGTGGACTCGAGTGCAAAAGCAGTATTGAGCTTCTCGGGCTGTGAAGTGGGGGAGATGAGAAATCCATTCCATTATGATGGGGCTATGCATAAACACCATAGGGCTCAGGAGCTGTTTTCCAGGCAAAGAACCCCAGGGACAGGGTGAGTTCAGTCTGCAGGTCTGGGGCTGCGGCAGCAGCAGGGAAAGGCATCTTGGCCGGATACTGGCCCACCAGACAAAAAGAGCCTTTCTTCCAGGGATGCAGGAAAAGGCCTGGTTTGTGCAAGGGAAGGCGCCAAAGCCAGGATGTGCATGTACGCGAAACTATCTGGAAATAAACAGGGGGCCTCCCCCCCCACCAAAGCTAATCCGAGAGGGACATCTGCTCTGTGTGGCTCGCACCATTCCCCTACAGGCAGAGAATCAGGAACCCCGCGTGGGAAAGGGCAGTGAAAGGAAGAGGGGCTGCCCACCCCTTGTCCAGCAGCTGACCTCACACGAGACACGCATCCCCTGGGAGCCTCAGTTTCCTTATCTGCAAAATGGGGATGATAACATATTTTTATCTTTTGCAGAGCTCTGTGAGGGTCACATGAGATGAAGGACTGGGTAAGACCCAGTCCAGAGCCCAGTAAATCCTTGTCTTCCTGTGACTTTTAGACTGTTTTCAAGTGGAGGCCGAATTCTAAATGCTCTTTTGAGGAAGCTGAGTAATATTACACTTTATCCTAAAAAAAAAAAGTCACTAAATAGTCCTCATTTCCTTCCAAAAAGGACATCAGAAGCTTACAATAAAATGCAATGAGACCTTTTACAAGGGGAGAAAGGAGAACGGAGTGATGGAGTGTGTTTTTGGAAAGCTGGCAGTGCGTATGTTGGTGGGGGGGGTTGATTACACACAAAACCCAGAGTAAAGGAAAGTCCCAGCAATCAAACACAAAACAGACTTCAGCTCTGGAAGTCAAAGCAAGCAGAGATCCATGAAGGGCATTTCCTGGCAGTGAACTCTAGGAGGTTTATCTGGAAGTCCTCTGTATAAGGAATTAGATAAAGCAAGCCCACAGTGGTTACTGGGGGCAGGAAGCCTGAGCCCAGGGCCTGGGAGAAGACTCTGAGGCACAGACAGAAGGGCCCCCATTTCTCCCTGGGGTGCAATCTGCCTGGGGTCCTGGTGAAGGTGCTTAGGGGCTGAGCATGTGTGCGTTCATTCCTTCCCTGTTCTGTGCACCTGCCTTCCCTGAGCTTGCCGTGTGCCGGGCTCTGAAGACTCGGGTGATGGCCCCAGCCAGCCAGGTTCAAGAAGGCTTTATCTAGCTGGAAGGACAGAGGTTGATGAACTTGGGCCAAGAGTCCAGGTGGGGTGAGGCTGGAGGTGGGGGACATGGTGGGAGGAGAGGGGAGAGTCCTGAGAGGCGGTGTTGACATGGACAGAAGGGGGCATGTGTCCAAGGCATACTGAATGGGAGACTGACTGAGACTCAGTGTAGGAATGGGGAAGGGAGGGGTAGAGGATGCTGGCCCAGGGTCTGCATGGGGAAGCAGTGGCCAGAGGTCTACCTGAGACGACAGGGAGCCGGAGGACAGCCTGTGTCAGTGGTGGGGGGAGAGCGAGTAGAGGTGAGTCTGTGGGTTGTGTGGAAGGGAGGTGGAGGAGTCAGGGAAGGACAGTCCAGGTCTGGGGAGGGCAGGGGACGTATCCAGGAGGGCCATCAGCAGCTCTCAAAATGGCAAGAGGACATTTCAGGAGCTGAAGTGACCTTCAGAAGTGGCCAAGGGCACAAGGGGACCGTCCCTGGAACTGTGGATGCCAAGAAGCCGAGGAAAGCAGTCCTGGACCCACGACTGGGGGGACAGTGGCCAGCTGGAAGGGAGAGGAAGGCCAGGCTCCAGGTCCGAGCATCCCGAGTTTTGGGGCAGGATGGGGACTGGCACCTCCCACCAGATCTCAGGTCAAGGGCAGACTTCCAGGCCTGGGTTTGGAAACCACGAAAACTGGGGACTCACCGGGGTCGCCTCTTCTTCCAGCCTTGCCGCGCCGTCCAGGAGGGCCTGGGCAGGAGAAGAAGGACAGACTGATTGAGAAGGGAAGCCAGCAGGCTTGGGTACAGACTGCCCACCCCACACCGGCACCCCAGGGCAGAGCCCACCCACTGCCCTGGCAATGGTGTCCTCCCCCTCCCTCGCCATCCAGTCTTCAGTCTTTCACAAGTCATTCCCCACTCCCAGAGACGGACTCCCTGGAAATCCACAGGCAGAAGAGTTGGCCGCTGAGAAACTGGATCTGGGAGAAGCATAAAGCCAAGGCTGGAAGTCCTTTTATGCAAATCCTGATGAACACTTTCTAATATTTCCCAAGGTAAGACATTAGAGACGACACACCACATAGAGACACTACTGTGGCCTTCCAAATGCCTGAACTTGGGAATGGCAGGCGCTGCCCTGTCCACTGCCTATCCCCCTTCCACCCGCTAGAACCTTCCGCATCCCCTCCCCCACAGCCTGGGGGAGCTGCTCATGAATTCTCTTGACTGATTGCACTTAAGGTCCACACCAACGTGCAGCATCTTCCGTCCGTAGCTTTGGAAGCCTTCCGGAATTTGTGATGTGAGCCATCCTGCCTCCACCTTCTCCCCGCTCTGCCCACATTGGTCCCCAGACCCAGCTACCTTGATGCTGAAGGAGGAGAATGCTGACCAGTCCCCAGCCCTGAGTCAGGGGACGTTTTCTCAGGTGCTGGGGGACAAGGTATGCAGAAGTGAAGGTGTCCATGCTAGGCTGCTGTTTGAGATGCATGTGTCCCCTCCCCCTCTGTGGTGCCCATCCATGGCTTGCTGCCCAGGAGGGGCCCAGAGGCCAGAGATCCACAGGCTCAGACGGTATTATAAGGAACTGCTCTTTCCTATATAAGTCAACCTTAACTTCCCTCCTCAACCCCCACAACAACCACAGGGGAGAGGCAGAGGCTGGCCATGAATCAGGTCTAGGGCAGGACGGTTTACTAAAAAATTCACGTGGACGCCTAGGGGGCTCAGTCGGTTGAGCGTCGGCCTTCAGCTCAGGTCATGATCGTGGGGTCCTGGGATAGAGCCCTGCGCCAGGCTCCCTGCTTAGTGGGGAGCCTGCTTCTTCCTCTCACCCTCCCTATCTCAAACAAATAAACTCTTAAAAAAATTTTTTTAAAGAGTTTATTTATTTATTTGACAGAGATATCACAAGTAGGCAGAGGGGCAGGGGGCCGGGGGGGGGGGGTGGAAGCAGGCTCCCCGCTGAGCAGAGAGCCCCATGTGGGGCTCGATTCCAGGACCCTGAGATCATGACCTGAGCCAAAGGCAGAGGTTTTAACCCACTGAGCCACCCAGGCGCCCCTAAACTCTTTAAAAATTTTTTTAAAAATTCAGGTGTATGAATCTTCCTTCCTTCCTTCCTCCTGGTTCCAAGCGGGCAGTCCACTGTGCGCCCCAGCCCAGGGATTGGCGTGCGGCAGGAAAGCAGAAGCAGCCCCGGGTCAGTAGCACTTCTAGAAGGAGGGAGGGTCTTCAAGGAAGAGAGAGAAAGAAGAAAGACTCCTCTGGATGTGGAGGGGGGGTTCCTTCCTGGCATGTTACACCCTAAAACCTCTGCAGGTGCCTGGGGTTGATCATACACATGGACCCCGTTTTCCTCATCCATTCATCTCTTCGGGTGATGGATGCTTGCATTGTCTACTCTGAATAGTGCTGGGATGAACACAGGTGTGCAACCTTCTCAAGACCCTATTTCCAATGCTTCTGGATATATACCTACAAGCAGGATTGCTGGGTCACACAGTAATCCCATTTTTAATTTTTGGAGGAAGCTCCATATTGTTTCCTCTGCTGACAACACCATTTGACATTCCCACCAACAAAGCCTTCAATTTCTCCGTTGCCTCCCTGGCGCTTGGATTTTTAGTTTGTTCTGGTTTTTTGTTTGTTTGCTTTGTTTTGTTTTTTGGTCTTGGCTGCCCTCAGAGGTATGACGTGATACTGCATTATGGTTTTAATTTGTCCTTCCTTAGTAATTAGCGATGTTGAGCATCTCTTCATATGCCTGTTGGCCATCTGTATGTGTGTATCTTCTCTGAAGAAATGTCTAGTCATTGCCCATTTTGTAGTTGGACTTCTGTTGTTGAGCTGTCAGAGTTCCACATTCTGGGTATTAACTCCTTATCAGACACGTGGTTTGCAAATATCATCTCTCATGCTGTAAGTTGCCTAGGCATTCTGTTGATGGTTTCCTTGCTAAAAAATGCTAAAAAATGGAGTTTTTAACTTTGATATAGTCCAATTTGCCTATTTTCGCTTTTGTTGCTTTTTAAACCTTTTGAGTTGATTATTGTCTATGATGTGAGGTAAGGGCCCCCTGTCATTCTTTTGCATGTGGATATTCAGTTTCCCCAACACCTTCTGTTGAAGAGACTATCTTTTCCCCATTGGATAGTCTTGGCGCCTCCGCTGAAGGTCATTTGACTGTATCAGTGAAGCAGACCTGAGTTTTGAGCGCAGAAATTGCTGCCAGTCACACGGTCCTCATAGTTCCTCAATACCAGACACAAACCTTGAGTCTTGAGCTGGAATCGCCCATGGGATTTGTTGACTTGGCATGGCCGAGATTCTGGCACTCTCTGAACAGACAACAGCTCTTCACCCTGGTGAGGGATTTGCAGCTTATGAGCATGTCCAGGTCCATGACCTCAGGTGAGCCCACGCTGCTTGGTCACCTGCCAACTTAACATCTCCATGTGGATCTCACCAATATCTCAGGCCCGTTGTGGCCAAAACATACATCTTGGTCTCCTCCCCAGTTCCTGGATGCAGCTGGCCTGGTCTTAGGCCCTTTCTCCTCTCTGGACACATCTGTTTTCAGGGAGAGCGAGGGTGTGGGAATGGGAACCCCACTTGCACACACAGCATCATGTTTCTCTGCCTGTAGGAGGGAAAAGGCCCACTTTCACTCACAAGGCCTGGGGCGCTGGTCACTCACTGCCTTCCGGGCTTTCACCAGGCCGCAGAAGCTCATGCTCGGCTCACCAAGGCTGCCTGCCTTGGGTCTCAGGCTGAGGTGAGGGACACAGCAGGAAAGGGGCCCACGACTGGGACAGTAAACCAGTCTGAAAGCTAAAGCCCACTACAGTTTCCTGCTGGTCATTACTGGGTACGACTACAAAATTCTCTGTCCGCGTAACTCAAGCCAGATGAAGACATTTGCCTTCGCTGAGGCGGCTGAACAAATGGATTTGTCTGGTGGTTTGCCTGGGTGGCATGGTTAGGCAGAGGGCCCGACGAGAAGGGGTGATCGCAGGCCAGCAGCTTCGCAGGCAGGGTGCAGTGCCCCGCCTCCCAGAGCCTTTGGGGAAGTTCCCAGCAGGCCTGGATTGGGGCAGGGCCTGGGAATCCCCAGGCATCCAGGGCCTGTGGGGCTGCAGTCCCAGCACGCCAGACAGTACTCCCAACTGAAAGGGTCTAGGTCGAGAAGGAGAATGAGCCTGATGCTCATTCCAGGCTCTCCCAGGCCAACCCAAACCTGATACCAGAGGACTCCGTGTGAACAACTCACAAACTAACAACTGGTCAACCCCTTGTCCAAACGGGCAAAAGCAGGCCCCTGGCCCCGGTTTGCCCTAGAACTTTCTCCTTGCTGTCTTTCCTCTTTCCCTACCCTTCTCCAGTGGGAAAACCTCTCCCACTGCCAGCACACACTCAGACATTCAGGCTGCCCTGGGAGGCATCTGGGAGTCGGTCTTGATTGTCCTGCTATGTACAGATGGGAAAACTGAGGCTTTGAGGGGGAGGACAAGTCTTGCCCAAGGATGCTGTTGGGAAAACGGTTCCAGCTGGAAAATCTGCACATGATGAAGCCCAGATGGTGCCGTTCTCTTGGGACCCACAGAGCTGTAGGGACCCCAGCTGTCATAGGGGCATCTGTGAGATATCCCTCCAGAAGCTGTGGGCAACAGACACCAACCTGAGGACAGGAAAGACATGACTGATATGGAAGCTGTTTACCTGGGGCAGATTACTCAACCTCTCCGGGACTTAGGTTCCTGACCCATGTGGATGGAATTTTAGGGGTGATGGAATGACAGCTGCTGTGCCAAAATATTATACCGAAGAGCTGGAAGCATACGTAACAGAGTGGGGGCAGAGAAGTGGTGCCTATGTGGGGTCCCAACAAGTCACAGGCTGGACGGGTCTTTGGAACATGGAGCCCTGCTGTCAATGGGCTCTTGCGTGTTCCCCAGAGCGGGTAAAGCCTGAGACACAGGAGCTGCAGGCCAGTGACTTTGTGGGCAGGGTCTGAGTGCCAATGCAAGGCCAGTTGGGGGATTTTCCGTGTCCCTACTCACAGACCGTCTGGGGACCTGGGGACCAGGAGGCAGGGCTTGTATGGCCTGGGGATGGGGTTTCTCAATGAAATCCCAGAACCTGGGCTCCAGCTTGCAGCAAAATGACTTTGGATGCCTGCGATGACCATCTGCCCAGTAAGTAACCACAGAGGATGATGGTTTTCTCAAGCACCGTTCAAAGCCAGACAATATGGAACCATTTGTAGCCCATTAACATCTCGTCTCTGGTTGGGCTGGAGAACTCACACGCAATGACCAGATCGAACGTGGGTCCCACACCTGGACAGGCTCTTTATGGAGGTCTGAAGCCTGAGGAGATGGTTCTCAATCTGGTGGCCTCTTGAGCGTCCCTGGCCTCAACCTCCTCTAGGACTTCCCCTCTAGCAACGTCAGCTGTAATAAACGGCCCAGACATGCTGGGGGCAGCTGCCTGGGCCCCCGTGTTCCTCAGGTCACGCAGTCCTTGGCCCCTCTGATGCTCCTCCTAGGGCAGAGGCTTTGGTGCAATTCATCTTACTGAATCTCTACACAGTTCTAGAAAGTGCTTTAATCCCTTCTCACTCTCTTCTCCTTCTCGACTGGGGAAAAGGAGACTCAGAGTCGTCAAGAAATATTGCCAGAGGCAACAACCAAAAGGCAGAAAAACCCAAATGTCCACAGATGGGTGAAGAGATGAAGAAAATGT